TCTTTCAATTAAATACAAGTGCCACAAGCATCCTTATATTGATGCTGATCTATTGCTCCAGATCTATCTGACTCTACTTAGCAGATGTGGCGGCGTAGTGCCTAAAAATGCATAGCAAATCATGTTGGTGACAGGCTTGATATCATCCGCAAGTAACTGGGTAGATCAGGGATTAAGAAATTGGAGACCCTTATATCACAGATTGATCAGTCGTGAGCACTTATTAGATAGGCCTGCTGTAGCAGGCTACTTCTATGAAAGCATGTATAGGAAAGTGTGTGTGTAGGCTTCTTATCTAATGTTCAACACAACAGGATCCTTCACAAAACTCGTGTCCAATAGAGCCTTTTTAACTCCAGCAAAAGCCAACTGAACCTCTCCTCACACTAAACTGTCAAGCAACTCACTTGAATGGGTATGTGATGAAAACATCATCTTACAAAAAAAGTGCCGGTTGTAATCAACTCAATCGTATAAAGCATAATAAACCAAAACAATATAAAGCATCTCTACAAGCAAAAGAACTGGATCCCTCAATACAAGCCTATATTTTGGAAAATTTGAATATAGGAATGAGAATCACAATATGTTTTCATCACAGTACTTGCCACCAGAATCAAACTTCTCCACCAACATTTATTCTACTAATTCTGCAGAGCTTACATCATATCCTCTCCCTCTCTCTCTTTTAAAAAGACTTTTTTCAATGATTGGTTGAGAAACGTCAAAAAAATGTTTTTCCCAGCCAGTAGTCTCTCTGTATTCTTCAAATAAACTTGCATAAAATGACACGGTATAATGCAATGAAAGTATAACTTTAGTCACAGTAAAATGTACTACAGTTACAATCTTAACTAGTTGATATTTCACACCATGATGATAATGGTAATTCTCAAAAGCAGCTTCTCCAAAGAAAGTAAAGATGTTAAACCAGAAATTGAACTCCAATGCAGGACATCTAAGGGAAAGATTGAAACTTAACGTCGGCTACGCTTCTCATATGGTGCCCATGAATTACCATAATTATTACCATATGGACCACCTGCATATCTCATTTCAGGACTTCTTTTCAAGATCCCATAACCCTCAGCACCTAGAAAGGTATAACAGAAGCTTAAAACCAACTAGCTACCATTGTTGCATGTAACCAGACGTCCACATGTTGATAATAATTTCGTGAAAGGAAAAAGAAAGAAAAATTAGAGAAAGACAGAAATAACCTAATCCCCGTGCTCTCTCTAAGTTGAGCTTCTCTGCTCGCAGTTTCTCTATTTCACGAGCCATTGAAACAAGGTTCTTCTCCATTGCTTGCTTTTGTTCATTTTGTTCTTCATTGGATTTCTTTTCATATTCATAAGCCCTCCTAAAAACATTGTGCACGATCAATTCAATCATGGAATAGACTAATTAATGTGGTCTTGAAGTTTATCTTGACTTGTCCTAGTGCCAAACCCTAACTACAAAAAGAACAAAACATAGACTAGGATCCAACACCAATCAATTAAAATTTCCATTTCAAACCTGGCCTCAATAAGCTCCTTGAGCAATCCATCCATATCTGCTCTCATAGAATTTAGCTGCTGATTTTCAGCTTGCAATCGAGTAACATCCTTTGTGAGGCTTTGGACTTTAGCAGACAAATCTTGCTTCAAATTATTCAATTTCTGAATCTCACCTCTTAAATGCAGAACCTCAGACTTTAAAGGCTCAGAAGCACGAAGCTCAGCTTCTAGTTTCAAACCTCTTTCAAGTAACTCCCTGGATTGTGCTTCTTTCTCAGACAGAACTTTGGGTATAGCCTGGTTCAATCTGTGAATTTCTTCTTTTGCAGCTGATAACTCCCTTTGAAGTATTGTATTATCATCAATCACCATGCGATTATCAGAAATTATTCTCTGCATTTCCCTATGCTGCAATTCAAGCTCCTCCTCCAAAGCTGCAGGATGAATAGGCAGGGGTGCTGGTACTCGTTCTACGTAGGATCTAGGGACATCACGGGAAACTCGGTAACCATCAATGTGGCGTGATGAGCGATTTCTTCCTGCCATACTTAAAAGTCCTGCAGAAATGATGTAACAATTACCTAATGGTGGAAGCACATTTTTCATTTAAACCAAGCTGAACTCAAATGTCAAGTAATGAAGTATTATCTTTTGAGCCCACAATAGGGAACCTAATATAGTAAAAGCTTCTGGAAGTTCTAAGTTCTACTGGCACTTCCGAAAATCCATGCATGCCAAATTAAGTCCACTTGGCTTAAGAGAAGCTCCATATCACGCAGCAACAACACAGGTAAGTTCAATCACTAAATGGATATTGAATATGTCAACCCTTACCCCCACTCCACTGAACTTTGCTGTCTTAACTATAAGAATGCTCTTTTCTCTAGGAAAGAAAACCTTCCTGCCACAACAAATATCTTTAACATGAACCCAAATGTCTCCCACATCTATGTCAATCATGGAAAATAAACAGGAACCTAATCTCATAATCCAAGGCCTTGTGGCAATGGTCCACTGATAGATGAATATTAACCTTAGTATAGAATATGACTAAAAGAATGATAGGAAATTATCAATGACCATCCTTTTTCAACTCATGAAGAGAACTCAACAGCCTGGAAAAAAAAACCAACCTAAAAATAATGAAGGTACCACTTCACCACATCTGAAGATAGAGCCCTAAGATTTATCAAACTGCAGGAAGGGAAGATTTGAGTTCTTTTTATTTATAGTAACAGAAAACTACGATGAACAGCCAAGCCATTGTCCTAGCGGCCTTTTAAAGAACACTTGAAGATGCATAATGCAGTTAATTTCAACAAATTGCGAGAAGTAAATAACAAGAAGGGAAATTCCTCTCTCCTCGTATTGTATATTCAGAAACTTCGTTTGGTCTACAAAGGTGCTTCAAATTCACTTCACAGACCTCCAAAAATACCTTCAGCATATACCAATATGGTTTCTTAGTAACCAACTTTGTGAAAAAAATCATTCAAGAAATCCAAATACTAATTGGGTGCAAATTATTTGAAGATCTCCATATTTCAAAGAACAATATGCATGATTTTCAACGCTAATCAGGCGGCTCTTAGATTGTCCGAGGTATTAGCACCCAGCTCTAGATTTTTCTCCATAACACAGCCACAGGCTTCGTTGCCAAGATCTCTTCGGGTTAAATAACTTGAATTCCGATGCTCCTTTTTCCCGTATTGTTGCAATTTATTGAACATTTTCAACCATGCCATCGCTCCCATAGTTGTAAAGTCCATACTCTTTCCAGTTCCAGTGCTTCAGCTTCGAAAGGGTCATTAAGCGGAAAAGTATCCCCTTTCGGTCGTAGAAAAGCAAATATGTGAACTCAACCGAAAGCCAAGATGTCTATATCAAACTCACAAAACTCTGATAGCCTTCGAAATCTACAGAGGAAAGGATCTAATAGCTAGTCCCAATCGATAGTTTACCGGAAAACTTGCCATACAGAGTGCAAGTCGAGGGATTGAATACCTTACCTTAACGATACTCACCCGGAGTAGAACCATCGCCTTACCAATCGAAACCAAAACACCCAAGGTTTAAAAGCATACGCGTACATGTATACAAATAAGTAAACATATAAATATATATTAATATATAACAATATATAGCGCTTCCTCCTTCGATAAATCTAATTGCCTTCAAGAAATCAAACGAAAGAAGAAATTTTCGAACGTCCGACGAACGAAAAGATCCCGTAGCTAAGGAAAACAATCGTTCTTTTTTTTCAAGAAAACGGCTAAAATTCGTTCCTCCATCGGGACAGCCTCTAAGCGATTAATTTCCGATCCATGGGCGATTGGAATTTATCTAGTAGAAAGAAGACTAACTTACAAGAAGTGAAACGAGAGGCGGAGGGTGAGGCGAAATCGTATAATCTCCGACGAGGAAGGATTTGGGGGTTCACCAGTTGTGGAAAATTAGGAACCCTAGGGCAAGTTGTCGATCATCAACGGATTTCTTCAGAGCTTTGGTTGCCATCGCATTCCCGGCCTATACCGCTATTGGACCCTTCGGCCCATTATTCTTCATAAAATGTCCATAAAAATGTTTGTCCAAATTAACTTAAAAAGACATTTATGAAAGAATAAATTTATTTTCGAGACAAATAAAAAAGATCAAAAGGTCGAAGATATCTTTTATAATTTAGCCAAAACAAAATAAAATGATAACATAATATAAAAATATTAAAATAACTCATTTTTATTCATTTAATAATTTTATAAATATTGTGTAAGAATGTAATTAATATGGACTAACATTTACACAATTATTATTTTTTTTAATCCAAATTTGGTCTAAAATTTTGAACCTTCAATAAGTTTAGAAAATGTACTTCAATAATCTACCAAATCATAATTAACCTCACAAAGTGAACCATTAATGTGTGAAGATTGTTTTTTTTTTCTTTGAATATATTGTTACTATCTTTTTTTTCTTATAAAAAAACATTTTTGGTCGGGAAGTAATAATTTAATTTTTTAACTTTAATTTGTAATGATTTAGTAACATTGTACTTTCAAATTTGTAGCAATAAAATCCATGTGGTAAAAAAATCATCATAATTAAATGCTGATTTTCATTAGTTAACAACTTGGACTTTTTAGTTTAAAACAAATTTCATCACTAATTAGTAATTAACTTATTTTGATCCATCTATATAATAAAATTTATTAAATCTTGACTATAATTTTTATCATAAAGATTAGATTATTAGAAAATGAATTATACTTTCGTTATAAAATGATTAAATAGTCACCATTACCAAAGTTTATGAATATAATATGTTTTTTAATAAATTATTTAAATTATTTATATATGATGCAAGCAGGTTCGAATTCTGCCGCTTGCATAAGAAAATTAAAATTATGTAAAGAATGGAAATAGAAATTCATAATATTATCATCTAATCAAGTATAAAATTTCCAACAAAAACAAAAACATCTAAATTAATTTCTTTTAAGTAGGAAAATATAAATTACAACATCACCGAATCATCTTAGAACTCAAGGACACAGACATCAAACCTTCTGGTCTCGAAAAGTTAGTATCGGTGACAAATTTACCAAGCATGTCTTCTCCCTTTTGATTTGAATAAGTTTGTCAGAAACGCACCATGGAAAACTCAAAAAATGATCTCTTTGCATACCTTCATTGTAACGACCCCAATAATCTGGATGATACGTGACACGGTACCAAGCAGATGCTTTTGCATATTCCTCATCTTTGTCGTCTTCGTCGCATGCAGACTTACTTCCTTTCTCATTGAACCAAGACCTTGCCTCTTTTCGTAGTGATTTAATGGCAAGGCTAATTTGTTCCAGGTCATTCCTTTTATCAAAAGACTTCGCCATTCTCAAAATATTTCCACTAATTAATTCAGGTTCCGTTTTGATACCATAATAATCCATCAGGTTCCCCAATTTGAAGTCGTACCTGGCTTTGTACTCAAAAGCTTCGCTCAAGTAATCCTCAAAACCATCTACTTCCATGTCTGGATCGTAGCACTTGGTAGCAACTTCCCTAGAGAAGATTTCAATGGTGTTGACATCGGAAGAAACGTCTTTCACTCCTCGAAAAAGCTTCCCAAGAACACCATTCGATACATAAGTCGGCTTGTCGGGCTTCTCCATGAAATCTGGATACTCACGAACACGAAGATTGTGTGGAAAGTTTGCTGGCACACCGGTCTTGGGGAAGTCAACAGCAATGGAGAATAATTTTGCAAGTTTAATACATTCAGCAGTCATTGCCTTTTTAGGCTTCTTATCTGCAAATACAGTGTGAGCATTTGCAATGCCTCCAAGACCATCATTTACCATGTACTTGGCCAAGTATTCCTGCACTTCCTGTATCAAAATGATCGTATTCAATTCAAACTTAGTTGTAGAATTTGTTCTACACTTTCAAATCTGATATACAATGCATCTTATTTATATATACGAAAAAAAGATGTACATATTTGCAATATAAATTAATACTTCCTAAAACCATACCTCGATTGTGACATCGTGATCCAACCGCATAGTTGGTGCGGGCTCGTAGCTCATAGGTTTAACTGGTTTAATACGAGTCAGCTCCGGATCCCAACCAACGAAGTACAAGTCACCATCCAAATCACTCCCAGAACATTCATTTGGGTGAGGTCTAACATAACAAATTTGATGTATAAGTTAAGGACAACAAAAACTGATTAAAAAAATTGCTATAAAAAACAGACTAATGAATATATGTCAGTAATCTTACCATAAATCTCAAGGAAAATGCATGAATTTACAACAAGTATGGGTATGTGAAATGTGTTCAGTACATAAGCGATTCATACACATTAAGCTTGCTTACCTTTCCCCTTTCTGTGGAAAAACAACACAATTCACCATATGATGCAGAGCTTTCACATCAACAGCGTCGAGCAAACGCACGTCCCCTGGGTGTAAACAGGGATTCTTAGCAACCACCACTTTACCCTTAACAACAAAATTACTCTCGCTTGATCTTCCAGGGAGAGAGCAATGAACAAACACCTGCCCGTATTCTAGCGTTCGGGTTTCGTCCAGGCAACCCATCATTGTCCTTCCCTTAGGAACAAATATCCTTGATTTAGTCCTCAAATCTAACAATTTAGCTGCTCGAAATGTTCGTAGCATCATATTTAGAAAAGGCTCTTCATTTGGCTTGTAAAGCAAAAGCAATTCCTTAAGAATACTAGTCATTTCCCCGGGGGACATCAACTCCAACACTTCTAATGCCCTCGACGGATCTTCTAAAATGGAATCCAGTTGATCTATAGCCTCCTTTTGTTTTTTCACAAAAACGCGGTCTTTAATTCCAAGAGTGGACAGAAGGTTGATCACCTGACGGTTAAGAAAACAGGGTTGGTACTTGCTCCATGACAAGACGTCGACTTGGGTGTCGAGCGACGTATACTTCAACATACTCTTTCGTAACGACAATTTCTTCGTCGATGTTGGGTCGATAGCAACAACGCCCTTGTATCCAGCATATCGGATCTGAAAGGCAGATGGTGTATGGCTGATTAAACCACATTTTTCAGCAACCTTCTCAGCCAATGTTCCAGATATTTTTCCAATCCCATCAGAGAAACAATAAGTAATTTTATTGGTTTCAACTTCAACATCAGGAATAACTTCAATTTCATGTTGTTCAACACACAAAGTTCTTCTGGATGAGCCAAAAGATTGGCCTAGTCGAGCAGCATATTTTGCCACATTTCTTATCTGACGAAAGTCACCCATCCACTCTCTGATATCTGCTGCACTAAGCCCCTTCCTCGAAGCAAACATCCAACAAGAATTTTCCCGTAGTTGACTCGCCGAGAAAGCAAGAAACTCAAACTTCTTATCACCAATAACTATACCATTTCTTAACACCGATAGTACTCTATCATAAACTCTAGTTCTTAAATCATTTTCAGCAGATGTACGCGGAGATAAATCAATGGAATGAAGTTTATCTAACTCCTCATCAACAAAAGACACACGAAGAAAATTATCTACATCATCAATAAAATGACGGACTACTCTATTAGAGAGATTCGCCTCCGGACCACGGAAGTACACTTTAGTAGGCGTAATTTGAACCCTGTGCACATAGACCAGGCCATCATCCAACGAAACATTAGGTTTACATGGAAGCTGCTTAGAGCTGTAGAATGACAGATATTGCTGCTTGAGCCATTTTTGTGGCTCATAGCAACATTCCTTAAAATGAAAAAGTTTTTCTAGGGCATATTCGATATATTCAGGACGAAATCGACTGGAATCGACCAGTCGGAAAAATTCATTATCCAGCGCTGGTCCAGGAAGATAACCATGTTGAAGCAGGGCATTGATTTTGAACAAAATTTTATAAGAGATATCAAAGCCTTGAGGTGGAGTAATGATAGGTACCAGATTTGAAATGGAGGATAAAGAAGAACCTGGGTGTAGAATGAATGGAGCATAGCTTTCTTTGTAGCCGACCAATGTTCGGAAGAAAGAAGGAAGCTGATCTCCAGGAGAAAGTTCCAAACACAGAGCAAAAGACTGTCCGATGCAAGAAGATGGAGTGAAATCCACATCTCTGATCCAACGGAAACCAGTGGATTCCTCGGAAGATAATCGAGAGGAAGAAGACGATGGAGTTTTCTTGAAAATCCGTGGAGCACCCTGCAACTGCCGATTCGAACAAATTCAGTATAATGTAACGGAGATTTAAATACCTACTCCAACCATAGTTAAAATAATTTTCAACCACTCAGAAGTTAATTTTGAAAAAATGCTTTTAAATTGAGAAAAGGTTTTAAAAATAAATAAATAAATAAATGTTTTATAAATGTTCGACGATGAAATAACCTACTAATTTAGGTAATTTATGAATGATAATGAGTTTATAAAAAAAATAAAAAATTAGTAAGTCCAAAACAAAGTCATAGTAGTGCACAATATCTTACTATTATAGAGAGTGAACAAACCTGAATGAGAAAAAGCTCGGAACCACGATCACCGGAACAACGAAGCTGAACTCCCAGAATATTCTCAAAACAGAGCTCCATTTTGTACTCAACACCCTCATAGCTCAAATAAAACCCCAATTTCCTTGCTCCAATTCCATATTCCACACTCCATTTCCCCTCCTTCCAAATCACCTTCATTTTCTCCTTCGAAACCAGGCTTCCCCACTGCACATTCACGTTTTCCATTCTCTCCAACCCGCCGTGAACTCTCGCCGCGGCAGCCGCCGTCGCCGTCCTGATCTCCCTCTCCACTTTTCTTGCCTTCAGATACGAACTTCCGAACCACAACCGCTTCTCCGCCGCCGCCTGCGCCACCACATACTCGCCCCCGAGTTTGCTGGTGAACCGGACCGTGGCGAATGTGAACCGGGCTTTTTCATCATTGGGTTTGGAAATCCTCACCGTCAACACCGTTCCGTCTCCCGTGTGATTCTCGATAAATTCCTTCACCTCGTCGGCGGTGACCTCTGCGGGGAATCCGTAAATCTCGATCATCTTTCCCATGTCGTTTGTTGTAGCCATGTTTTTTTCAACTGCATGCATGTTTCCAAAGTATTGCATTAATTAATTAAATTAGTGTAATGTTTGAACAAAATCAGGGGCTAAAAAATGGACAAACAAAAATAACATATATTATTATATAATCAATACTATGACACAACATAATAAAATAAGTTAGTTTTGTATTTTATTTGCTGATGATAAATAATAAGATGAGAGTACCTGTAGAACAAATAGAGTTATTGATGAAAGCTGTGTGGGGAAAATAGGAAGCAAAAATATGTAATTTATAAGAAGTCAAGTAAAAAGTAAAGTCAAGTCACCAGCTTCTAAACCAAGTTTATGCTTTATGTTTTATTTATTACCAATAAATTCTTTTTTATTTTTAATATTTGTTAAAAATATTCAAACTATTATTTTACATAAAATATAAGCATTTCATTTATTTAAAAAAATAACACCAATTCAATTAATCTATTTAGTTAAATATTTCCATAAGAATCTTAATTTGTTTGCATTTTCCAAATGGGTCCACAGACACAGCGGACCCACGCGTTTAAGATGGAAAAATATTACACTTGTTCTAATTGAACAAATTCTAAAGCAATGGATTGCATCACCATTCTTTTTAATTTAAAATAATTAGTCTCACTTTTACTTGGAATAAAAAAAATTAATAATTACATAAAAATTGTAAAAGTCTTTTGACTTTTTCATCTCGGTCTCAGTTAGTTTGACAAGGAATAATTCTTTGCATGATTGCATTTACATATTATAATTTATATCTACCTCATCAATAAAAAAATTAAAATGAAAGTTCAAAGGTTCCTTTCTTTATATTATTTTATGTTTGGCTGGTAGATTTAAATTTTATTTCTTTGCATATATTAAACTAAATTACATTAATAATGTAATTTTTTTTGGAGTGAGAAATTTTTTTATATACTAATAAATTTAAATGAGAAGACTTGAAAAAGCTTATTATTATTATTTTTTTAATAATAAGAGTGTAGAGCTCAACTTGCGACACAAGTTTCCAAACAAGAAGGTAACTGGAAGGTGGGAGGTAGAATTTCAGCAAATTCTTCCTCTTAACAAAAAGTTATGTGTGGGCCCCACCTTTCTAGCGGAAATAATTTTCTTTTTATATTTTTCTTTTATTCTCATCCTCAAAACTGAATATATATAATTAAATAATTAATCACAAGTCAAAACTTTATAACTCACCAAAATGAGAACTTTTAATTTAACAAAAGAACAAAAACCTCAAATTCATCATCTTTAAGCTCCAAAATTGGATGTGGTCTCCAATTCTCGTGGTATTGCTTCCACCAATGAATTCGACTGTGTCATAGTTCACATCATTGTTTTCGATTTTCCAACTCTTTAAACTGCTCTCTATACACAGAAGATCTATTATCATTCTGATTATCCTTTTTGTTCTTATTTTCTTTCACTCATTAACCTCCTCTCTCATCGGTACTAAAATCGAAAATGAGTACCGACTTGGTTCTTACTTATGTATTTGTTTATGAGCCACTAGGTGAATTTCGTTCCCACTCATATTCATGATTCGCTCTCTCAGCTTCGCTAACATCTTAGGAATTGATGGATACTCGCTAACATTTGTAGGTGTTGCTTTTCTTAATTTTTTTATTTAAATAATAAAATGAAAGGATTCAAACGTGCCACAACCCAAATTACCACTCTTACAAACACGTGGATACAGTCAAATTTTTTTAGCATGAATATTTTATAAGTCAACCAAGATTGTATTAAAAATCAACCCAAAGTTAATTTGGGTTGGGTTAGTCTGAATTTTCAGTTAAGAAAATTTACAGCCCAATTTTATAGAAATTACATTCTAATCCAATATTTCTTTTATCTTTCTTTAAATTCCTCCCACTTTTAATTTAAATTCCTCCCATTTTTAATTCAAATCAATAAAAATTAAATAAATAGGGATAGTGGATCATATATTTTTAATTTTAACTCCTCTCATACAATTTTATCTCTATTAAATTATAATATAAATTTAAAACCTTTATATTTATATTTTTATGATTATTTGAAATTTTTTTATAGAAATTTTTATTGAAAATATGAATTCAAAATTGAAAAATATATTAGGGGTCAATGTCAAAATTCAAAAATTCTATTAAAATATGAATTCAAAATTGAAAAATTGAAAAAACTATAATTTTTTTTTATAGAATAGTAGTGGTTACTCATTCCAATAAAACAATGAGTTTAAAAGAAAAAATGAAACCAAACCAATTACCATTTATGCTCTTCTTCAACATCTATTTTTAAAAAAAATGAAAAAACACTCTAAATTCAGAGACCAAAAATAAGAATAAAAATAAATCAATCTGTTGAATTTATCATTTATTCTAAAAAAAAATAGCATTTAAAAATTATAAAAAAAAGTCGAGTCTCCTAATATATATGTGAGATATTTAGGGAGTTGTTAGTATAAATTTGATTAATAGTATATTTTATTTATTTACAAGATTTGGTTAGATATATTATTTTTTTCTATTTTCAAGTATTAGTTAATAGTTTATATCTATTTAAGATTACAAGCATATTGCGATTCTGACTGGGGGTGGTTGTCGAACTTACAGACGGTCTATTTCTGGATTCTGCATTTTCTTTGGAAATTCAATTATTTCTTTGAAGTCTAAAAAGCAGACTAATGTATCCAGATCATCAGCAGAAGCCGAGTATCGAGCTATGACAAATATTTGTTTAGAGTTAACTTGGTTAAGATACATTCTTCAAGACTTGAATGTTCCACTGTCCGAACCAGCATTATTATATTGTGATAATCAAGCAGCATTACATATAGCAGCCAATCCAGTTTTTCACGAACGTACGAAACACATTGAAATAGATTGTCATATAGTTCGAGAAAAGTTACAAGCTGGAATCATCAAACCGTGTTATATTTCCGACCAAAATGCAATTGGCAGATGTTTTTACTAAAGCTCTGAGAAGACAACAATTTGACCTTTTGAAGGACAAGTTGGGTGTCATCGACATACACTCTCCAACTTGAGGGGGACTATTAAGGGGATATTTTGGAGATATATTAGTTAGAATATATCTGAAATATTTATGGAGTTTTAGTATAAATTTGATTAATCGTATATTTTATTTATTTATAAGATTTAGTTAGATATATTATTTTTTTTCTATTTTCAGGTATTAGTTAATAGTTTGTATCTATTTAAACGTGGTAAACCTGAATGAAGATTATATATTTTTTCAATTCTATTTTCTATTTCTATCTCTTAAAACTCGGGAAGCAGTTGGATGTGTTCTCCAGCTTTCAATGCAGTCTCTTCCATGAACGCATTCTAACTGTGTCATCAATCAAGTCGTATCACCTCCCTATTTTCCACTTCTTCGAGCATAGATTGCTTTCTCTACCAACATCATCTATAATCAATAAGTCCCTCCTTTTCTTATTTTTGTTTTCGTGTTTATTCAACAATTTCTTTTCCTCCTCTATCGTAAATCAAAACGTAGTTTATTTATTGGCAGGGACAAAAAAAAAAGTCCGGGGCTAGGTACTGACAGGCCAGACCGTGTAAATAAAATGACAATGAATTTTGGAATGAAATAAAATAAAGGAGGTAGTATATTTTTTTTTTATTATTTAGAAATATATATTTTTAGTAATCTTTAATATATTGGTATTATTTATATATTAGAATCGGAGATACCTCTTGTTTTGAGCCCTTACATTATCTAATTTATGTAAATGGAATTGATTTATGATTTTATCGAATTGATATATTTAAATAATTATATATATCGATATAATTATATATCCATATAATTAAAGGGTAGATAAAGATAATAAGAAAAGATAACAGGAGGGCTTTTTCAAGCCTTCCTTTTGTATTTTTTATATATATATATCCTATCATATATAATTATCTTTTTCAATTTGGGAGAAATGGCTGAGTCGAGGTCGGATTGCTAAACTCGGTTTTTCTTTACCATCTATCAAAAAAATGGGAGAAATGGCTGAGTCGAGGTCGGATTGCTAAACTCGGTTTTTCTTTACCATCTATCAAAAAAAATTAGAAATTTTTATTTTTATTTTTGGTTCTTCATCTTACCTTTTTTTTGTTGTTGTAAATTTTAAATTTTTAAACTATATAATTAAGAAGATTGGTTCATACATTTTGGTATCAAGCATTAAAAAATATATTGGTGGCTATTAAATTATTGAAACTTTAATTTTATATTTAATAAATTTGTAAATTCTAAAAATATATTGTTATTAGAATAAAATTAAAATTTCAATTTTGTTATTTTAGAGATAAAATTAAAAAATATATTAAAAAAAAGAACCACCTTTATTATATTTACGTGAATAATGGAGGGAATA